ATATTATAGATGCCGACTTAAAATAAATAAGTAAAATAAAACAACAGTCAACAAACCAATATACACATACTTTATTGAAAGATAGCCACAAATGAAAGTCATCGAGATTGACCAGATACGGAAGCAGCAAAAAAATACAAGCGATGGCGATGGGGGTACAGAAGTACCGCAATCAAATACTGAAACTGCAGATGAGGTATACAAAACGCAACCGCCTTTGAAATATTAAACGCTTATTACGGAAAAAAAGACCTTATTATCATGTTCACATTTGCTAACTTATTTTTCTTTCTGACCTTAACAGGATATTTTAGTTTTGGGAAGTGATGAAGCGCCTGAGCGAACGGATACAGATGGCGATTTTGAAGTAAGTTTATTAAAATTACCATCTGAAAAGTTGGGAGCTGGGTTTTTCTATATCAATTTTCCTTCATATATTTCATAGATTAACCAACAATCAGAGCACAATGAACAGGATGTTGGTAAAGAGCAAAACAACGAAAAGGTAATTTGAATACGCATGCGCGTGCATGCAATTAGTATTATGTCTAGAATGTGTTATAAGTGGCACGTCTTGTAAATACATGAAACTCCTGTCTCCTAAAAACTCTCCTCACTCTCTGAAACAATAATTCATTCTGTTCAAGATCCCAACTTGACCCCTTATACTCGCTAAATAACTATCATCATTACGACCAATTTTGATTCTGTTTGTAAACAGGAAGAATCCATTCAGATTGGTGACTGGATCGCAACAGATTTTGGCACCAACGTGTTCTACGTTGGAAAAGTCACCAATGTGGATTTGGCTTTGAAAAGAGGAGAAGCCATGTTTCTGAAAAAGAACGTGGGGCACAAGTATAAAGAGAGTAGTGCTCAAGATAAGGAGATCGAAGGTTTTGCCTTTGACCAAATAATTTCTTCGGCTGTGGAGATACACTACATCAACGGTGGAGTTTATCTACTCCAGAACTTCCAAGAGATAGAGGACATATGTGTTATTTTAAAAAAGAGTAAACGGCAAAAAACTCACTAAAAAGATCAAGACATGCCGATTACATGGAGCATTTTCAATCCCGAGGTTGAACTCCGTAAACTCTATTTAAATCAAGTGCACGGTTACATGGTAAATTGTACACCCCCTGATTAACTCAGCGCTAAATTTTGTCATGTATAATTTATACCCAGTGCTGAGCTAGCTATACTTGAGTTTATTCGGTGTTACTATTGGAATATAATTTTAACCCGATCAGAATTAGGTTCAACTCCAGGGTTGAAAAGCATGCACTATGTCCATGACCATGTAATCGGCCCCAAAAGGAAGTGAACTTTCTGAACTTGCATAAACTTTCACACGCAAACCGTCTGCGTCAGAAAGATTCTCCAGACTAGTCGAAACATCGAAATTCTTTCCTTGCAGTATACATATAATATTTCAAATCTGACTATTTGGAGTTGATTTTGAGTACGCGCAATTTGATCAAGTCCGAGGCGAAGCCGAGGACTGCATGGATGAAAACATATAATTAAAATGCGAGGAGTTAGATGTTAGTTAATTTTGATCCAGTCCAAGGATTGGATCAATATACTTCACCAGGTATCGATGCAGTATTACCATGTGAGCAAAATAGAACAATATGGTTGGCTAATTTACTCATGTCGAGCAAAAGATTATTCGTGTCGTTTCTCGAGCACTTTACCAGTTTCATACTCAGTGTACTGTGTGCAGGTGAAGGATTCGTGAATGTCACTGAATATAGCCATATAATATTACTGTCAGTGGCGTAGCCAGCCCAACAATTTAGTCCCGCTATGCAAATTCAAAATTATTATCATTATTCATTTATTTAAAAATTGATTGTTTTCACAGTCAATGAATACGAAAATATTCGCATAGCGGGACTAAATCGTTGCATGGGCTGCCTACGCTACTGATTACTGTGAAATCTTGTAATATATATAGACCGCTGATTATTGTATGTAATTATACGTATTTATGTGTGTGTATGTAAAAATAAATACTCTTCCGCAGTAAATGGGAAAGGGGCCAATTGGGCGAGTTTCTTGATAATAATAAAATATTAAGTTAAAAAACTATACAACTACAAGCCTAAGATTCTATTAGTCAGTGTTTGTTTACTAAGTCCAAGTGATTTACATAATCAAATTAGTTTTTGGCATTTCGGGCTTTCGTCAGAACAACACGAACTGCATGCATATGCATGTACACACATGCAAATTGTATCCTACCTATAATCAGTCCAAATGCTCGTGTATGCATGACAACTCGGAGGTAAAAGTAACCCTAATTAAAACTGACCTCAGTCCCTACGCATAACTTACATCATGTATGGCTCGTTTTAAATTTAACAACCCTCGTAATTCAACTATTTTTGACTCGGAAAATAATTGCCGAAGGCTTTCGATAATTTTCGAGTTTGTCTCGGCAATATTTTTGCCGAGGCGCGCAATGAATTAAAAAATTCCTTCGGAACGAGTGTGGATTCCGGCGTTTGACATAACTTTTGACAATTTATTGTTATTTTACAAATTGAACAAATTCCTGATTTAAAATATTTTTAGAAGGAAGATAGTGCATGGTGATTAAAGAATGTAATTAAATATATGAAAGAATCAATTTGAGGGTAATCACACGACAATCATAAAATGCGTCGACGTGTCGTCTTTAAACCATCATGCAGTTTGTTCTATATATCAACCGTAGCCGACGCTGAAACCTCAAATCAGTTACATATTTTGTAAAGTATGAATAAAATCTTCAGTTAGTCGTTCGCCCAACGGCAACGTCGATGACAACAAATCAAACAAACAAACAAACAAACCGAGTGGTTTATATAGATAACGCAAAAAAACGGGACAGATGCTGTAGTTATAATTTGTAAATTTAAGGTATAACTGGTGGATTTGCTTCGGCATATGCCTCCATGCATAATTGCGGAGGCGAATTTCGATGGTTGTTTAGTCCTCGGATAAGTTGGTTTGAGAAATAGGATTTAATTTGCCTATTGTGAGAGGTGTCGTGCACATATTGCCTGTTTCAAACCTCAAAAGTTGCGCTAATTCTTGTGTGCCAAAAGCATCCATAGCAATAAGAAAATCAACGGAAATGCCTCTCAGTCATTATTGATAGTGTTAAAACATACCATCCTTCAGTTAACACGCTTGCATGAGGCATTTTTCAACTGAAATACGCGGGGCATCTGCACCCTATATAATATATTCATTTATTTTTTATCACATATTGACGATATATATTGTAATATTTATATAATACGGAACTTGTAAATGTTTGAATTACATATCTGTCATATTTGCTTTTCAAGTACTACTACAGTTTTATTATACATTATATTGTCTAGATATATGAAACATATATATCGTCATATGTTACTGACTTGGTTCAACATTTGTGCTATAAACTGAAGGCGAATTAAGTAGTGATTCGCTGGCATATAGACCATACAGAACTACTATTTATTCAATAACATTTTATGCGTATTGCTTTGCATCAAAAATGCGTTCAGGCATAAATATATAGCATAATTGGTACATTTCGCGCCAGTATATATCGCCTGATGGCATGCACAAACGCAACAACACGAGATCAGCCATATAATTATAAGGATCAGTAAGGATCAACACGAGATCAGTCATAAATTATTAGTCTATGCATGCATGCATATAGCCATAGGGTACACACAACATGCATAATAAATGAGACATAATAACATATATAACAGTCTAGATACATATATATATATATATAGTTTATATAACAAGATTAGCCATATGCAAGAAGGTTTATGCACGAACTTTCTCTATATTAAGACTCACATGTTAGTTAATATATGTGTCCAATGTAAAGACCATCCGTGCGCAGCAAGGTATCGGGTTTTTTTTACACTCACAAACAACGTTTTGCAATTAAACTTACCTAATGCATCTTCAGGTTTTAAGATTACATTCTCTGAAACAGCTTTTTTACTATTGTAATTCAACCAATGGTCCTGCTTGCAAATCGATATGCAAAAAGGTGCAAGTGCCATATGTGCAAAGGTTCATAGAACATATTTTTTATTGTACACTAGACTTGTCAGTTCTTTTTAAAAATGCAACAAATCTACACAAGCGGACAGATGCAGATGCTACATACATAAGTTCTATACTATAGTTTTGCCTTGTGTCGGAAAACGTTCTTGAAATATTTATGCGTACATTGTTTTCTTTCACTTGTGCGTCAAATGCATACGTATCAAATGCTATCTCACTTTTGCGTACACACGCACCATGCATGTGCATAATAAATGAGACATAACAAATAAGCACAAGACAAATAGTAAACGTTACTGTCTGTAATATCAATTTTAAAATGTACTTCGTGCACGATTCACTTTAATTTTATTCACGAACATCCATTCTTTTACGAACTAGAATTTCACTAAGGGGCTGATTACATGGAGCATTTTCAACCCGGGGTTGAACTCAGCCCTGTTAACCGAGTTGAAATTTTTTGTGATTACATGGACGATTTCAACCGCAGGGTTGAAACGTTATACTATACGTTCTCGGCATCGATTTGCGGAAGTAAAAAAGCCTTTATGTTGTTTTCTTGTAATAAATAGTCACTACCACGTATGCTCGAATAACTCATGATAATTTCAGCCCTGGGTTGAAACGATTACATGACAAAATTTTCAACCCAGGGCTGAGTTCAACCCCGGGGTTGAAATTTCAACCCCGGGGTTGTACTCAGCCCTGGGTTGAAAATTTTGTCATGTAATCGCGCATTTGATTTTGATAGAGTTTTGTATTACAGACAGGGCTGAAATTTCAACCCAGTAAACAGGGCTGAGTTCAACCCCGTGGTTGAAAATGCTCCATGTAATCGGCGCCTAAATAAATATAAACTGCATGTCAAAAGTAAAATGACAAAATTGACTTTCAGTCAAAATGTAATTTTTTAATAGTCACCTTGACAACTCCGCAGTTGCCACTTGCAAGTCTTCAAAATGGCATATATAAGTAATATAACAGTATAGATACATATATAGTTTATAACAAGATTAGCATATGCAAGAAGGTTTATGCACGAACGTTCTCTATTAAGACTCATCATGTTAGTCAGTAATATATGTGTCCAGTGTAAAGACCATCCGCATGCGCAGCAAGGTTTTTTTATTGATAGGCCTAATCGGGTTTTTTTACACTCATGCACAAACAACGTTTTGCAATTAAACTTACCTCATGCATCTTCAGGTTTTAAGATTACATTCTCTGAAACGCTTTTTTATTGTAATTCAACCAATGGTCCTGCTTACATATCGATATGCAAAAAGGTGCAAGTGCCATACGTACAAAGGCTCATAGAACATTTTTGATTGTACAGACTTCAAATTGTCAGTTCTTTTTAATAATGTAACAAATATAGACTAGAGGACAGATGCAGATGCTACATACACGAGTTCCAGTTTTGTCTAGCTTGTGTCGGAAAACGTTCTTGAAATATTTATGCGTACATTGTTTTCTTTCACTTGTGTGTCGAATGCATACGTATCAAATGCTATCTCACATTTTGCATACACATGCACCATGCATGTACATAATAAATGAGACATAACAAATGAGCACAAGACAGTGTCTATAGACAAGTGTGACCACCATGTATGCCTAAGAAGACTGAAAATCAAACAAAATTATATTATATAGGCATAATGTAATTTCATAATTGTAAATATTGCTTCCAAACGTAGTTAGACTTTATATATCGGCTATCATCATGATCATTCATGTCAATTATTTATTAATATATATGTGTTCATTTTTAGCTAAATGTTTCTGTCAACAAATTGAACTCCCTTTAAAAATCCTTACTTCCATCATGATACCGTCACTTAATTTAATTTAATTTGTCACAATTCATTTCCATACAAACAAGATTGATTACTGACACTAGTATAAAACATGCAAAAATACAACATAGCCATAGGTGTGACTGGAGAGAGGAACAGGACTTGCGTCCCAATTGACACCTAACTCCTATAATAAATGTCTATACATCGACTAAACACATTACATGAATAGGAAACCATAGGATATTATAAAGTTAAGAACAGCCAGGAGGGCTGTAAAATAGCAGTCGTTCTTTATACATTTTACGTAGTCTGGAACTGAATACAGATATTGATGTACAACTCTTAAGTAGCAATGAGAGGCTGTTCCACAGATTTGCTGACCTTACAAAAAACGAATTCCTGAAGAAGTCCTGCTTATTTTTGGTAATAAAATAGAAATTGTTTTCGTCATAATGACGTGATGTATAGGCTGGATCATAGGTACGTAAATAATTATTCACATTATTCACTTTGATTACGGAATGCTTAGCAAAGTTGTCTAGTAAGTTGTCTCGTATAAAAGCCCTTAAAATTTTTATGCGGATTGTTTCCCTTACTTGTGCGTCGAATGCATATTTTCACAGGTCGTTCGCACTTTTTGCGTATATGATGCGAGTATACTGATAACTGATTCAATTATCAGTTATTCCGACATTGAACTTTGAACAGCATAATAATTGTAACCCTACACTGTGACTCGTGATTTGAGCAAAGCGCGTGTGAGCGCGCAAAATTATAAGTTACTGCATTGATTATGAAGCTAGCACGGTAAGCGTTGTTATAACGAACTGGACTTCAATGGATGATTTAAACTTGGCTTGGAAGTTGGGATGGTATTGCTCAAGATACATACAAGGTAAAGGAATACTTCTATTGTTTTCCTGTGTTCGTTTATAGTGATAGTGTCAACAATGCTGGACCATGCATTCCCCACATATACTTCAATTCGATCTCAGAATGCTTTTCTTTCCCTCGAATAAGACCACGGGCATATACTGTTTATTCCGACCTTACTATTTTCTACATTTTGATCTTATGTTGCGTTCATATTTTGTGCGTTCATCATAAAATATCAAAATGTGCGACTATATATACCATTGGCATTGCCAAGTTTAAATGAACGAAATACATGTATCTTTACTGATGGACGTTGAATTTATAGGTATTATATATTTGTATATATGTAGGCTATATTACCTACTGTAAATCTAGCTACTCCATTGTCTTATTATACAACAGACCACATATAATTGCAATATAATAAAGGATTAATTTGATGACAGGAAAAAACATCTGGTTAACATTCCCTCAGGGAACATGTCAACCAATTTCCTGATCCCTTGATCTTAATTAGCGATACAGATATTTTTATGTGCGTTTTGCGTACATTTTTTAAGCCTTCGTGCGTGTTCACACCTAAATTAGCTCAAGCATACTTTACTCGGAAATTGCGTATGCATCAGGTGGCGTTCTGCAGATAAAACACCGAAATTTGAGAGTCCGCTTTTAGTTGACAGTCCGGAAAATTTCTGACACGCGTTTATAGTACAGTCTTTCTGTGATTGTATATCTCCAATGCAAATGTCACAATGTTCTTCACATTCTGGTGAAACTTCTTCAAAGTATGATAGAATACATCTATGGTGACATGAAGAACCACTGTCACAGTACTTTACCATTTTATTCATGTTGTATTTGTGTTCTTGATAGTCCTTGTCTTCAATTTTAAGTATGTTATGGAGATGGAATGATCGGTCTTCATGTTTGAAAAACAGTGTGCACAATGTAAGTAGTCCATCTCTACCAGCACGACCAATGCCTTGGTAGTAATCATCAATGCTTTCGGGAAAGCACATGTCAAGGACAAATTGCTCATCTTTTCGGTCAATACCCATGCCAAATGATTTAGTGGCACATATCACTTGGGCAAGACCAATAGTCCAGGCACGCTCATGCTTTCTTCTTTCGAGATCATTGAGATCACCATGAACAAAAACAGCATTGATATTTGCAGACTTTAGTTCATGTGCAAGATCAACAGTGTCTTTTCGTCGTGCACAATAAACAATGCCACACTGACGTTGACAAGGCTGGTTGATGAAGTCAGCAATTTGCTTCTTCGGCTTGTCTGTTTTTGGTTGTATTTGTAAATGCAAATTTATTCTGGAACTTGTTACTTGTATTGTCTCATATGATTCCATCTGTAATGTAGTAATTATCTTGTTCTGGACTCTGTTTGTACATGTACCTGTCAGAGCCATGATGGGAACATTGAAATCCTTCAGTAGACCCATTTTAAGGTAATCTGGCCTGAATCTGGCCCCCATATATCAATACAATGTGCCTCATCGACAGCAATAAAATTTAAATTGCCTGCATCATTCCACTTCCTGAGAATGTTGAGCAGTTTGCTGGAGACAATACACTCAGGGCTGGTGAAGAGGATAGCAAATGGTAGGTCTTGTCGACAAAGAGCATTGACCACATACTCCATCTCTGTGTCTGTAAGGGATGAGTTATGAGTTAAAAAGGCTGGGACTTGTTCTTGTCTAAGCTTTTCAGCCTGTTCCTCCATAATGAATTTTAAAGGTTCAATGATGATAGTAAGTCCTTGCTTAAGAACAGCAGCCATGGTATAAATCAGACTTTTACCACCTCCAGTTGGTATTAGAACTAATGTATCTTTATCTTGCAGTATCGATTGAATTGCCTCTAACTGCCCAACCTGAAATGAATCATAGCCATAGAGTTCTTTCAAAAGATATAATTCTCTGTTGTCTTGGTTCAGAGGTAAGTTAATTGACCTCGTACTTCCCTGGACATGTTGCAATAGAGGAGTTGGTAATGCAGTGGCAGGCATTTTCTAGAACACAAAAATGAATTAGCAATAATTTGTGTAACATGTTTGCCCATATGGTTTTCATTTTGTTAGAATAGTGACAGACAGAGAAAAGGAAACAGCGATGCTATTTCCTATAACATTAATTAATTTAATTTATAGTATAATATAAAACATTGCGACAACATTTTCCCACAAATAATATTGCTTAACTCTTTATCAACCAGTCCATTTTGCGTCGTCCGCGAGCAGTTGATGGCTCATATTTTAGTATCTTCGGTTCAGTGCATGCTATGAAGACAGAAATACCACCATTTCATTCAGAAATAAAAGATACAGTTATTATCAACATTGTAGCGATTTATGGGCCTTTCAAATTCCAACAAGATCATATACTATCAAATTATGCAATTGTCTGAACAAAAATATAGACTAGCCATACCTTTCACTGAAAATAACAGCATCCCCTTCAAACACATCGTCTTTGTAATAGTCTTGTTCTAATCCCCATCCAAAACATTATTTAGAGTGTTATTTGCAAGCCTGTATCTTCAAATCTTTATCTTTTATCAATATATTTCCATTTCTTGTCCGAGAATGTGAGCTCGAAGTGAGTTAATCAAAACGTAGAACCAAAAGGTGGAACCTTGTCAAGTGTTGAAAATTTGGCTCAACAATTTAACAAGATTGAATTTTCAGATAATGACAATGGTAATATTAATGGCATATTTTGATTATTTTATGTTATACCTTATGATCTAACTTCCTACTGCCTTTCTCAGTATACAAGCATTCAGTAGGTATAGCTCTGTTTTAGCTTTTGTTTTTTTAGTCAGAATACATACATCATGCATTATTTAACAGTCATTCACTAAGGAAATGTGATTATTAGTGAATAAAAACGGAGATATTAAAGTCAAAATGAATTCACCAAGCTTGAGGTGAATAATTGTTTTTGAATTAGTATAAACTCATAGGTGAAATTTGGAAAAGAGTAAAAATACACCTTTCTTCGTAACTTATGTTGACAAAAATGGCTTGCTGCCATTTTGAACAATGCTTTAGGTGATTATCGCGTATACAAACACATAAACAGCAGCCAATCAGCACGGAGAATATTTAATAATCACATATGTAATTATACTAAAATTTATTAATGTATATATGGTCAATTTCTCATTTGTTTCTATTGTACAACTTAAAAAGCCATTAAGGGGTTCACAATGATATCTTGTCAGGAAGAGGTGATTTGGCTGGCCTCAAAGTGATAAAACGCAACAAAGCAACAGTTTTACTAACACTAACCAATTCTAAACACCAACTCTAGCCCTAATCCTAACCTAATCCTACTCTATGCAAGTTTGTTCCTAAACCAATCTTGAAGAAAAACGTTTTGACGAAATGTCATTCTGAGGTCAGCAAAATAACTTCTTCCAGCTTGCCAAGTGGGCAAACACAATAGCGAAAACAATGGAATTCTTAGGAATTACCTATAGGTAAATTTGCAATTGGGGCGAACACAATAGTGAAAACAGTACATTCAAGATACCGTCGCGAACCCCGAAATGACATATTTCATATACATGTCTATATGGTAAAACTGGATGTACAGTACAGTATTATCTAATAATTTCTATTCATTCTGCAGATGTTGAATTGACAAGTGGTTTTAGCACAAGAAGTAAGCTCTCAAACATGGAAAAAGAAATATGAGAACTGAAATCACAAATTGTAGACCTTGATTCCAGTTATAAGAAACTTTCAGACAATTTAGTACAAATAGAAACATCATTCGAACAGTATGTTCTCCTCTCATCTGAAATCATGAGCAAGCAGGAGGCTGTGGTAGAGTTGTACAAAGAGATTGTTGAAAGTGGCCAAATGCTTGGAGGTTTACTCTCTATTTCAGAGAAATATGTTATCAAGAGTGAGATAAATTTTAGCAAAGCAAGTGTTCAACATTGGATTGACAGACCGTGAAGTCAAAGACCTTACAAACGTCCTGAATCCTAAATTGTTTGAAGTCATGATGGAAAAGCTCCAAATTAATTGTCCTACAATCGTATCAGTATTAGAGCAACTTGCTTTATCCCCAAATGCTTCTAGAAATACCATCAAGATCCCCAGCATGAAAATGAAAGCTGCCGTTCATCTTCTGGCATCACTTATAGATGCAAGAGACCAGAATGCTAGCAACAATATACCAATTCTCTTTAGCCTTCTTTGTCTTTGTTTTGGTGCTGGGCCATCCATGATTGGATTATTACAACGTTTAGGATTGTCAGAATGTTACCCTGTCTTGCAAGTTAACTACAATGCATATTTTTATAATTATTGTAACAAGTTGAATCTTAGTGATTAAGTGGCAGCTTAGTAATGGGATTACGGTATGCAATGGACAAATCTTCATTGCAAAATATGTGTGGATCTTTATACGAAAACGTGACATAATGATTTGGTCCACGAGAAATGTTACATACACGTTTCTCTGTCTATAAGTACTTATTAATTAAACTTATTTAATCAGTTGATTCTTATTTTGCAGAATCAAAATACTGAGAGTTCAAATGGAAAACTATAAATCTTTGATTGATATGCAAGTAGAAAAAGAAACACCTGTGGTTACCTTTCAGGATAACATGCAGCTGATGCGGACATCAATGAGGCACCTCAGACTTTCTAAGTTGCATAAAGATAAAGTGAAGCAGAATAAAATATGGGATTTTACTGTTTGTGGCTGGCGTGTGGTGGATATAAGTGGGATAGAAGATTTGTTTCAATATAAGTCATCTGTTGAACCACAACGAGCTTTTAAAGATTTGAAATACGAAGACCTTATCAGTACGTAAAAAATATCGACCACAAGTGGACTTGTCTAAATACATCCTTTCGATAATGACGTCATAAATACTTTTTTGGCCTGGGAGCATGAAACAAGAGTGAGGCTCCCAAGCCAGAAAGTATTTATGATGTAATTATCGAAAAGACATATTATTTTTCGGGTTCAATGTGATATTTCATGTACTCACTATAAGGCTCACTGGTGACCGAACTGGCAGTTCAACATTCAAAACAAGTTTTATACTTTTGCATATGTATTAAAAGTGTATTATTTAAACTTTTGTTTTACAGAAAATAACCCACCTCATGAGTACAAATGGAAAGAATTCCGGGAGCGCAATAGATTGTGGAAAATGGATGTCGCTTTTAACACTGTTAACGTAACAAAAGAACAACTGAGGAACATGAGAAGTGAAGATTTACAGCGTATGTTATCTCAATCACTCGAATCAGAGACATCACAGCAATATAAGATAGTTGTTCCTAGCATCCCATACGAATTTCCAGACATGGCAGCAAAAGAAGCACAAATATATCCATTGCCAATTTCTCATGAAAACTAGTGCACCACCCTAGGAGCTGCCAGCAATTTGGATCTGTTTAAAAAAGAATTTGATTTTGTCTCTGACAAACAGCCGAAATTTATCCCTCTTCAAAGCTCTGGAAAGGATTTCGACCTTGACAGAGCGTACAAATGGTTTGCTTTTTTAAAAAGCCTAGAATATCACAAGAAAACCCAACATGATTACGAACAAATTTTGCATGGAAAAGGTACAGTTGAAGAAATAACCGAAAACGGTGATGAAGAAATCATTGCTGTTGTGAATCAAGATGACGAAGAGGATTCAATGAGTGATTGAACAATTAAAATGAACAACAAATGAACAAAACAAGTTATTTAGACTCCAATCGTAATATATATTAGTAATTTAATAGCAACCTCGTACCCAGAGTCTTCACTCTTCAGGAGCGAAGACCCTGGTAGGAGCATAAAGATTATAAATAACACTAGAGGGGGCGACGGAAAGATGAGAGAGTGCAAGTGGGAAGGGTGCAAATTTAAATCCTGTATATAAAATCATACTCTCATTGGTTAAATTGAAACTCCTTACCAATGGAAACACGAGTACACATCCGGAACTTCAATTTCCCCCCTCCATTAGCCACGTTTTCTTTTTTTTACTGAATATTACATTCGATGCTCCCTCTAGTGTTATTTATAATCTATATGGATAGGATTTGGTCACATGATCTGCTAAAATCTAGCAGATTTTTAATTAGCCTTCTGTAAATTTGAGAGGGGTATGAATGTAGTAGATTAGTTAACTTTTATTTGTGTACAAGTGTTGTTTGTTCCAACAAATAATAGTAATTTAAAGCATGCATTAATCAACAACATGTCACCTTTCCTTGCTTTCATTTTCATTTGCTTTATTCTTTAATGTGTTATTCCTTTCATTCTTGTTGCCCGTCAATACAAAGTCAGAAAAAGGCAAATGTATGACCAAAATTTGTGTGGTTTTGACTTTAAAATTCCATTCTCCTTCACTCGCTAGATCAAAACCGAATACGCTGTCAGGGTTTCTGTGCTGGATTCCAACCATGAACACACTACAAAAGCATACATAGCTATAGGTGGAAAAGGTTTATTATACGCTAAATATTCATGATTCCCCAGTTGAATGTTAAAACAGTTGTTCTAGATTAGAACGCCATATTATATTTACAAATATTCGGGAAGCATGTCGTCAACCCCAGACCAAACCACTCTTCTGCTTCATATATGAAATCACAAAACCACAGACTAATAGAGCAGAGACTGGGGGTTTTTTGGAAAAAGTTTGTATATCAGCAATTTGCAAAATGACGTGAGAAAACTAGTGTTGACCTTTGACCACATGTGTCATGACCACACACATGGTCTCAAATCAAAGATTCCAACTTTAGCAACAAACGTTTAAGACATGGATACAACAAATTCAAGCGAATGGGCAGAGCTTATCAATAATATCAGTTTAAAAAAAGCTAATAAAGAGCTTGATCGTCGAACAAAGCAAGTGTTTGACGGGTTACGTCGTTTAGCTTCAGTTCGCATGGTCGATGAAAACCTGCTATCAAGCATAGAGGACCAATATGATGTGTGGGCACCTGCCCGTGATCAGTATCTCCGATCTGTTCAACATCTCACTGCTTTTGAAGGAAATACTAGACTTGTAAAATGTCTGGTGTTAACAGGGGCTGAAATCAACCTTCAGGACGGAATAGGACAAACACCGCTCACTCTAGCACTTCACAAGTCGCACAACGCTGCAGCACAATTTCTCATTGAAATTGGATCGGTATTGCAATATTTTGAAAACACCGTTTGTCCACTTGATATTGCGAAGACGAAAGACAACGTAACAATGACAAAACTCATTGAAAGAAAGTTATCTGAAGAAGAAAGTATCAAGAAACACGTTTCGTCATGTTTTTGCAGACTAGTAGGTGACCCAAACCAAACGATGGAAGTAGACTCCATTGTCATCGAACAGGATAATGCATTTTCACGGGTCCTAAATATTAACCTTGGAGATCAAAAGAACACTGTTACTATACAAGGCTGTTCCAATTCTTGTCAGTAATAGTGGGGACAAAGTACTCGATTTTTTAGTGGGGGTGTGGGAATTTTTTTTTAATATAAGATTGTATTAGGAAAAGAGCTGATTCAGCGAAAAAAATGTTGTGATTGTGTTCCACGGATGGGGGGTAAAAATGATATGGTGGCCAGTCCCGCAAAATGTCGGGTTTGTATCGCTCGGCCAGTTTAATCATTGTGCAATAGTGTATTTTATTGGCCACGTGGACCGGATGTGTCTCCGAAGCCCTGGTTGACCGAAGTGATGTATTTTGAATTTGGTGGTGATTTTAAAGTGTCCGGTGTCACGTGACATTGATTGACAGTGGTCACGTCACATCCGGTTTGGGGATCGCGTGGGGATAGTAAGGGGTAGGTGGGGATCGCGGGGGATCGCAGGGGATCATGGGGGATCGCTGGGGATAATGGGGTGAAATTGATATTTTTCCACACATTTTATTTTATTTTATTTTATTTACAAAAATTTAATAACTGCTTTTCTTTCGGGTTCTTGAAGAAATTTGAAGTGTTCCTTAGCGTTGTTACACTTGAATTTTTCTTCAAGTATACGTTCAAATGATATTTTCATGTCTCTTTTAATTACAAGATATAGATATGGACGAGAGATTTTCTTGTTTCGAGCGACCAAACCATATCCACACAGCCAAGGAAAACTTTGCAGTTCTTCGTCTCCTTTTTTAGTTTGGGTTTAGAATCAACAAAAGTATTTATAAACCAGCTTCGCTTTTCGTCTTCACGCATTGCTTCACTGGCGGTGTTGTTGTCTGTTTTAAAACAGTTTTAAATTATTATTCATAATGGCAACAAATAATCATGTAATCCCATGGACCAAAGACCAATGTAAATGTGTTTGTGACAAGGAAAATGATGGTCAACAATGTAAATGTAATTGTCTGTGTGTGTTATGTCAAATTATACTTGAAATCAATGAAATAATTAAGGAGCAAAGAAATAAGGAGTTAATGATCAATTACCCCGATAAAAAAACACCTTTTTGCATTTTTGCCATTCGTCTCATGTAATATAATGTTACACGACCACCCCATTGCTTGTTCCATTTTTTACCAGCCTTTTTGATCAACAAACCTCCCTTTTGTTTCGGTGGTCTTTTTTTTCTTTTTTTAACCATAGCGACACCAGTCCCGCCCAAAACTGCATCTGAGAAACTTTTAAAAAATCCACCGCGTTGAATTGCTGAACCTTCGACTGTTCGTTTTGTCCACGGTATTGCTTTTGCGCGGGCAACGCTACCTTTTTTACTACCAACCACAGCTACACGACTCATAGTTATAAGGAGAATTTAAGGGGTGCAAACCTTTTGTACTAAAACGACGATTACAACAAGTTAAATTAAATTTAGCCTTGTTGTAATTGTTGTTTAAGTTAAAAAGAATCCTACTAAAAAAAGTAGGTTTAAAAAATTATAGTTTTAATATTAGTGTGTGTGTAGATAGATAGATAGATAGATCAACTTTATTTAAACACATTGGCCTTTTCAGCAAAAGCTGATTTCCAAAAGGGATGTGTACTTACAAATTATTATTTATATACTAGCTCTAATATTACATACATAACAAATACAATTATATACCTATTTAGACAAAAAATTAACTACTACTTTAAGTCGAGATTAAGGTCGAGGAAGATAGCTTTTTACAGAACGAATTATACGATACCGAATTGCTATCTCTTCAGGTATCTGATTCCATAGTTTAGCCCCACTATATTGGAAGCTTTTTTTTAAGGATTCCGTTTTTGGTCTTGGAATATAAAACCTTGTTGAAGAACCTCTCAGATTTTGGAAAGCTTCGCAGAGTCGTTGGGGGGCTAAACCATTAACTGTCTTGTACATGAGCCTGGCTTTCACTTGTGCCCTACGCTCTTCAAGTGTTACCCAGCCTAGAGATTTTTGTGCCAAAATAGACTGACCATGTTCATTTTTTAAGTTCATGATCAACCTAGCCGCTCTGTTTTGGAATTTCTGTAGACGTTCGCTTAGGCCTTTATTAAGTGTATCCCATACTTCACAGCAATAATCAAAATAAGGTTGGATTAAGGCATTATAAACTTTTATCAAAATGTCTTGTTCGACATACTCCCTCATTTTCCTAATAGCCCCAATACCAGATGATATTTTACTGCTGATATGGTTAATGTGTTTTTCCCAACTCAAGTTTTCGTCTAATTCAACTCCAAGAGCTTTGGTATTTTTAACTTTTTTAATCAATTGATTATTTTTTTTAACTCCTTGATGGGTATCAATATTACTTATTTTATGTCGTGTTCCAATTAAAACATACTCGGTTTTCGCTATATTTAGACTTAGTTTATTTGCACAAAGCCATTTCTGAACATTTCTCATGTCTACGCTCGCCCTCTCTTCCGCCTCACTAATTGTTCTGCCTACTGCCGTTAAGTTAGTATCATCAGCAAACATTCTTGGAGTTGTGGGTTCTAGGCAGCTTGGCAAATCATTTATATACATAATAAATAAGAGAGGGCCGAGTATACTCCCCTGAGGAATGCCACAAATGATTTCTTTCTCCACCGAGAGTATACTAGCCAATTGACAACTTTGAGTTCGGTGCGTCAAATAGCAACGTAAAAGATTTAATGCTTTCCTTTGGAAACCATACATTTCAAACTTACTTAACAGTATTTCGTGGTCGACTGTATTGAATGCTTTTTTTAGGTCAAGAAAAACAACTAAGTTATACAGCCCACGGTCCATGTTGGTATACCATTCGTTCGTACAATCCAATAATGTAGTAGTTGTGGAATGATAAGGTCTGAAACCAAATGGTGTTTTGAGAAAAGATTATTCTGGTTAAGATACTCATACATTTGATCATACATAATTCTTTCCACAAGTTTACTTACTACAGGAAGGATTGATATCGGTCTATAGTTGTCCAACATGGACCGCTGACCTTTCTTAAACAATGGAATAACCCTTGCAGCTTTCCAATCAGAAGGAAATTGATCCGAGTCAATTGACATATTAAAAATCTCAGTAAGAGAAGGTGCAATAACTGGAGCTGCTACTTGTAGAATTTTAGCTGAAATTTTATCCATTCCAGTTGCTTTGGTGGTAGACAAATTAACTAGAAGAGTGTAAACCAATGTTACACTCACTGGTCGAAATGAGAAACTGTTCTTTGTCTTAGATTTTTGTTGAGTAATAAAATCTCGAAAACTAACGTCATTGTCATTTGGAATAGACTCAGCAAGCTTTGGGCCAATATTACTAAAATGATCATTAAAAATGTCGACTAATTCGTCGGTCGATGTAACAGTTTTACCTGGAAGTTTAATTTCATTAATTCGACCTACTATATCGTTTATTGTTCTCCAAGCATATTTAGGATTCTGTTTATTATTTGTGAATTTGTTTGCATAATAATCTCTTTTAGCACTGCACAAAGCAGTGTTGGCATCATTTCTAGATGACTTATATAGTCTCCAGTCTTCTTCTTTATTTGTCTTTATTGCTTTACGCTTAAGAGCATCTCTTTTAAATAATTTTTCCTTTACTTCCCGGCTTACCCAAGGAATATTGAAATTCTTAAAATTTCTATACTCGACAGAACCTTGTAAATCAGTTTTTATTCTTGTACTTATTTTCCGAATACTGTAAATGAGGCTGTGATCACTAATTCCGAGATGGACTACACCTGAAAAAATTTTTTTTCAGGCATTGACGCAATTACTACATCCAATAATGATTGGCTAGACTGGGTAATACCGCGTAGGGTTATTAATTAATTGTGTAAGCTGATATAATTCCAAAACGTCTTGAAGCTTTCTAGTGGTGGACAAAGTCCTTGCTGTTTCGAATTAGGAATTGTGTGTGTGCGAGTGTTTATATAGATAAATAGACGGAAGTTGGTTTTAAAAAAAATGTATTATTTAAATATTACAAGCTGAGACAATTTTTTTCTTCAGCAGAAAAGAGTTTAGAGTTTTTTATTTCTTCACGACGATGTATAGCATCATTGCATTTTTCAATTCCGTACAGTTGAGCACCACATATATCACAGAAATCATAATATTCTTCCTTGTTTTGATTCATATATACGGGAATGATCTTTACTAGACGACTGTTTAACCACACGATGACTGGGGCATCCGTTGATAGACTGGGTACATTAAGGACAGGTAGCATTTCTAAAATAAATACGCATGCGTGTATATAAGAATACCGTAATAATCGTGTGCAAGAAGTGAAACGTGTATAAATACCAAAATAAAGAGTTAGTATTTATGTGCGTGCGTGTTTGCCGTACGGGCATCTATTGTGGCGGAATGGTAACGCATTAGGATGCCAATTCTCAGAAACTTAACTGATGGCCGGTTAGGGACAAGCGGCTAGTAGTCCTAAGTTAAAGTGAGTTCGATTCTCACCTTAAGATGTAAATATTTCTAGATAATTTGTGTTTTCAATTTGTGATATGCCGGACGACGTAACCTTGGGTAAGTTACTTAACTCATTAACTGGCAATGCGCCCGGATGCGCCCTGAGATTGGCAAGTGGGTAACTGGCAATGCGCCCGCATACGCCCTCAAATGACACCTCAACTTGCGGGCATGATATTTGAGCACGTGTTTATTGGGTTGCCTAGCAACGGATACGAAAATAGAACGCGAAATTCGAGCTTTTCAACGATGTATCATGCAAGAAAATCGGCCAAAAACTCGCAAAGTTTTTCAAGTTCAAAACCTTAGTTTTTCAAAATAATGAATAATGGCGACATTGTTGCAAAGACGGATTTCACAGCAAGTTTTAAAAGAGAAAAAAGAAGAGGTTTTTGAATCATCTACAACGAAAATTTGGCATGAAAGGAAAGTGAATGTATTGACGTTTTGGGGCCAAGTTCTTCTGTGAACCATGCGCGAGATTTTCAGCCAAAAAGATGAGGATTTCTCCAAACTTTATTAAAAATAGAAGTCGGAAATCACAAGAAAGATGAACACGGAACTCAAGTGAGCATATACGATTTTTTAAAGGGTATTTTTGAGTAGAAATATGCGATCAAACACTCGCAAAATTCGACCGCATTAATGTTGGTAGAATCTAGTTTAAAGTTATCTTTTTAGACGAACTGTTTATGCAAATTTGGGCGCAATTTCGACTGTTTTCGTGACCCCATTGTTGGTCTTCTTGTTCAAGTTGTTATTTTAGCTAAAGTATATTTCAAACGACACTTACTGTGTGCGTACGTGACCTTTTCGACCTTTTTGGCAAGAATACTTCGAGTATTAAATTACACTAAATAAGTAGGATATTCCAAAATCACTGTTATATCTATTTTCATCAATTTAGTGTTAAAATGACAACTCGTTTCAGACGTATTGTGGTGTAAAATAAGTGTATTGAATAAACGCGCTTGCTTGCCGCGTGCGAATATTCAAAAAATCCGCACTTGAGTTGTAAAGCTTTCAAAATGCATTTTTACTGTTTTTTATATCCCCTATAAAACTTTAAATCGATAAAGCAGATAATAATGTTGATGCAACATCATTTTCTAGTAACTACACGTTGAATCAGAAGGAAAAGTTATCAAAATAAGTCGCGACGGTTGTTTGCAAAATGTTGCTTCTCTCTGAAATGGCTTCCTTTGCGGGAAGCCATGAAATTGAAGTCCTAACAAAAACCAACCTTAGCAGTTCATTTGGGCCCATTGCTCACTTATTTATCATGAAATCGCTTCACTAGAACATTTTTAATAATCTCTATGGGAAATTTTGTAATTTTCTGAACTAAAAGTTTATGGTTTTGAGGTGTTTATTTTATAAAATAGCACGCGCGACAAAATGGCACTAATGTGGTTTCTCACGTCTGACAAACAACCAAAGATGAAAGTTCTTATTTCACCCTTTTATAGCTATGTGGAATACCTGAATATTAGGTTATCTTTTTCATGTGAGCATATAGATAAACATTTCTATACAATAGTCCTTATGAAGGCTTATTTCAAACTCAAGAAAAGAGATTGTTTTTCAGAGCCAGACTTCAAAAGAAACCGCCTGGCTGACATTTTTTGCAGCCTACATTGGCGCGCAAAATAATTTTGGCTTTTAAACCGTTGCTTTCCCAATAGAAGCATGAAAATATTGAGCTAAAAGTCTTACCTGACATGTGTTTAAAGTGTTTTTCTCTTTATGATGCTTTTCAGTGCTTTGAGTACAGAAGTGAATACCTTTTAGTTTTGTCACCGCAGAGTGCCTTTCAAAATGTCGGCTGTCATTGTCTCTATTAAAAACACCTCAGAAAATTCCCATTTTCTCACCTTCCCATCCTTGGTTTATATTAAAATAAATAAATTTAAGCACTATGTGTCCTTTTAAATATATTTGAAGCAATCAAAAAACTTTAAAGATGTACAAACACTGTGTTTTGGCTTGCACACTTTGTTGAACTTGAACACTTAGTTACTGTTCTAAATTTCATGTTGTAAACAAGATGCCCCAAAAAAGCAAAGAAGTAATTTTAAAATTTTTTGATAATTTCGTAATTCATATCCCAAAAGATGAAAATTGGTTGTAATATAGATATGTATTAATTTAGTAAATGAATTTTTTTTTGGTTTTTATATAAATTTATGGAGATATTGCTCCTTTAGGTGATGAGTGACATGAAAAACAAAGTGTCACTGCTTTATAAATAAAAATACTGACTGAAAAAACTAATGATATATATAGGTATGCAAGGTCATCTAAACTAAATTTGGTCAATCATATATCATTCATGTTTGGTTGAAAAGATCAGACTTTTTTATGCAATTGTTTCTGAGATATTGCCATTTTGGTGAAAGCTTGCAATTCAATCATGAATTCGCCATATTGCTTGCCACTTTAGGGGGTGGTAACATTGTAACAGCTTGCCAGTTAATGAGTTAATTAAAATGTTTACCTGTTAACAGCATAGATAACTTGTAATATGGTAGTCTAGTCGTGGTTGAAGATATGTACGTTGACAAAGTGTACGAATTGCTATTTTAAAGATTTATTTATTTAATCGGTATCCTTTTGATGCGAAATGTTTATAAATTTGCCATTTTACATCTGTAAATCGTGCCGGTTTTAAAGTTTCGATGTAGTGATAAAATTCATATATGAAACCGCACATACGTGTTTCACAATGATGTGATGATGCGTAGAGCCAATAACCCCAGTAGTTTAAATGCCATTGAAGATAAATATAATGTTCGCGTATGTTCGTTTCATTGCGATGTGTAGTATGAAGATATATTTTAAATTTTCCCGATGGGTTTCCAATAGCCCCACTGTTTTATTATATTTGCATAGCGTGTCATCACATAAGATCCAACCGGCCATTGCATGTGCTAACTTTGTTTTCAGGATAAAACAGAATATTGTCCTGGAGACGAAGTTAGTACACGTCAATCGTCGTAAGCAATGTGTGAAAATTTTAGGCGCATCGAGAAGATAATTTTTGAGAATGACTATGATTATTTACCGCGACCTTGGCGCGGTGAAAACGATAAAGAGCTTCAGTTGGATTTGCTTCATCATGTTACGATGTATATTATACAAAAACAATTACATAAAAAAAATAAAGATGAATTTTTATGTGAGGAGATATGGTTAAAAAAAGATACCGAAATAATGGACGACGAAGGGTTTTGGTACGGGACGGATATTGTAGACGATTTGGCTGTTTTCTATCTATTTAATAATTTAGTGGAAAACGTGTCAGACAAGGATTATCTAAAACCTGAAAAAATGATAATGTTATATAAATTATATGTGGACTATACAGAAAATGGTGCGGACTTGTTTTATGAAAAAATCTATGAATTTGTTGAGGAAGAATTAAAGGGGAATTGAGGTGAGTTTCACATTCGATGTTTCATACCGTTCGCGAAAGGATGGCCGAAGTTTTTGAGAGAATCGTAAAAGATTGGGTATTTGATCAATTTGACAATTGCAATGACGGATGGAAATTGAAAACACTCATTGAGGATTTGATTGATAAAGGTGTAATTCTGGACCATATTGGTCATGATCAAATTTTATATAAGTTATTAATGTCACAAATTGAACGTTGTATAACAGATTTAGTTGATGTACCCACCGAAGGGTATATGATGCCCCAAATGATAAGTTGTAGTTCGACGCCATCATTTTTGAGAACAAATATTGAAAATGCAAGAAAATTTGAAGATTTGCGTCATGCCTTAGAGTCGACTACGGGCATAAATATTTATTTGTATCTTCGTATAAAAAGTGTAGCTAGTAAAAGATTTAAGAGAAAGTTATGTCCTCGACGACGACAATGATTTATTTAAAAAATTGTTCAAGTTTTGTTTGGTGAGTATTTTTGACGCTTTTTTCTTCATCCGCCATTTTTTTCTTTTCTTCATTTAGCCATTGATCACCGCACGCTTGAATAATTTCTTCAGTATCAGCGCTGACACGTTTCCAAAATACTTTTCCACTGTTTACATGTTCGTATTGCCATAGATCACCATCTGCGAAACCTGTGGCTACAAAATAATCTTTACCTGTTTGCTTGGCTTTTTCTTTTTTTTTCATTTCTTCGGTCTTGCGACGCAACGAAACATATAACAAATATCGACAATCTTGACAATAACGTTGCTTGAAGGATTTTTCATCATCGCCGAATTCACAAGCGACAAAGTGTTGACAGTGTTGTTGTTCACATTTTGTACCATTTTTCAAAGTTGTTTGGCAATCGGTATTAAATGGTTCAATAGCTGCATCATGATTTACAAAAGCCATTGTTTGATTTTAATTTTTTAAAACTTCACATGTAAATATATAACTCCGGGGTAATAAAATACCATTGCCATATACGGTCATGTTTGTTACGGTTACTTTTTATAATGTACAATTAATGGTGCGTCAGTTCGAAATAACATACGAGGAGTGGGAAATAGCATGTATGTGTGTTATTGGTAATCAAGATTATTCATCTTGTTTTTTAGCTGGTTTTTGTCATGACTCGTATATTCAACCGTTTTGGCGTTATTTTACCGTTTGTAATACGGTTCAAGTGGCGGAATTTGAGGGACTATTTATAATGGGTATGAAAGTTGAAGGATCGGACATAGATTTATATAGACAAAAACAAAAATGTGTGATTGGACGAAAACGAAAGATGTGAAAATAGAGAAACCTTTTTCATGTACTACAGTGGACGAACAAAAGGATATATACAATAATATTGTGGCGTATTGGTGTTGGTTATTGATACGCATGGATATAAATCAACAGGGTATTTTATATACAAAGAGTTTGGTACTACAAGAGTATTGGTGTGAGCAATTCCCAATATTGTTTGAGAAATGGCATCAGATAATCAACGAAAGCTATGAAGAAATACTGCAACGATTTGGCTGTGAAATGCTTTTTAAGTCCACCGATAAAATCCTTGGGGACGCAACATTTTACTTTGATTTAGTTGGGGGTGAAAATAATCATAAAATTTATAGCGATAATGTTTATAAATTACTAGATTTTGTATATATGTAATGTGACACCTATAAAGTAGAGTGTATGATTATGATAGTGATGAATAAATTAGTGTAGCTTATAAAAGTTTGTTGTTCTCGTGTATATTTTTTGTAATAGCCATGGCTTCAAAGCATAAGAAACCCTGGGTTGAGAAAAAATATTCGCCTGTGAAGGAATGGGTGGGGAATAGAGATACTGAAGGAATGGAGGAATGGCAAAGCGGTATTTGGGTGGACAAGTGTGCGTTCTTTAATTATTCTCACTATTGTAATCAAGCAGAAAAAATCGATGAACAGAAAATAAAGATGGATCGTAAAGAAAAGGCGATTTGTCCGGGCTGTGGTGAAAAACATTCAAAAGTGAACAATCATTGCACTGTAGTGTAAACGTTTTTTATGAAACACATAGTTGAAAACATTGATTACAGCATGGTGTTTTACAATAGCACATATATCTAAAACAATAAAATTGTTCTATTTTTTGTTTATATTGTCTGCTTGTAAATTTATCTACGCGTGTTTTTATTTTTTCATCAGTTGCAACATCGGTGACCATGTTGTCTGGCAATTTTGCTTGAATTTTGGGTACATTTTCAACTTTGCGATATTTTGGCGGAACGTGAACTTTTGAATTTAGTAATTTATCCTTTGGCGTTGTGGAGCCTTCAGCGAATCTATCACCATTTTGTAGAACTACTGTGTGTGTGTTAAAACTTTGTAGTTTTCGATCTATTCCTGAATTCCAAATAGGTGGTTGATGTAAAGTTTGAAGCACATCACGATAGATTTTTGCAGCGTTGTAGCATTTTTCACATTTTGATGTACAGGGACAAGAAAATTTTTCAGGACAATACTTACATGCCATTTTTTTTGTTTGTGATTACTTACAAATGAAGATGTATTCATAGTGTTGTATGTAAATTTAATTTATCGGGTTTTAACTATATATGGTTGTGGTATGAGAATATTAATGATAAAAGTATATATATACACGCATACACACTACAAATATTTTATTTTATAAAAATGTTTTCGTTTATACCCACATCTTATTATGAACGAAATCAAGATCTTAATGTATATGCACAAAGATTATGGTGGTGTCTTCATTCGGATTCTAGTGAATTGGTTGATGCTAGTGAAATTTTGGCTCGTAACTGTGTATTTCCTTATGAGGCATGTGTTAATGCATTTAAGGTGAAAAAAAATGAGCACTGTGAACACAGTGTTGATACAAAGTATATTACGATTATACTGCGATTCAATAAGC